GACAAAAAGCGTTTGACCAACCTTATTTAGGCCACTTTGGTCGACGAAACTTCATTAGATTTTTTATCTTTGATAGAAGAGTTTGTTCATAATGGTTTTAAACCATTAAATAATTCGAAGATATAGATTGAAGTCAAAAAAGAAAAAAATTTCCAATTTGATTAAGTATTTTCTTATTTTATTATGCATTAAAATGATTTCTAAGGCCTTACAAGTGTTTATTAACTTTATTTCGATCATTTAGAGGTGTTTAGGAGAAAAAATAATGTCAAAATTGAGTTTTTTGGAATTTAAAAATTAACCTTCAATTTTTTGAGCTCGTCGAAAGTTGCGGGTTTTTTTATTTATTATTATTATTTTTTTAGGGGGGTTGGGGGTGGGGGAGCTGGCTTGGTCGCACATGCCTAGCTTTTTTTTTCTTTAGGTTGGCCGATAGCTCAGTGTCCGGAGTGGAGAAGCAGCTGAAACAACTTGGCGTACGAGCTTGGATCACATGCCCACCCGACCGGGTTGGCACTGGCTGCACATGCCAAACTTTTTTCCTTTTTTTTTTTAATCCAATAATTTATTTTTTTATTTCTTATCATGAAATTAGGTGTGAAAATATAGAAAATTGATAGTTATATTTTTTAATTTTATTTATAGTTTGACATAATAGAATATATATGATATTTTTAATATTTTAGTTTGAATGAATATATATATATATATATATATATATATATATATATATATATATATATACACATACATATACATCCGATTATGTTACTCTTATTGTTTAAAATTTATTTCTTCAATCGTTTATTTCTTATTAAAATGCTCATCCAATTAATTTTTTAATTTAATTTTATTTATTAATAATTTTTTTATAAATGGATTTTGAAATAAAATTTTAGAACATGATTGTTTTATTTTTTAAAATATATTATTATAATTTATATGATTGATTATTTTTATAATTTTTAAATGAGAGTAGCGTAGTTAAATGAGAGAGAGAAAGAGCTAAAAGTGTGTCTTAGATAATTTGACTCAATTTGTTTTTTTTAAAAATTAATAATTACTTAAAAAAAGAATTTGTAGATTTTATTTGCTTATATATATATATTTAGAATTTATTGAGACCAATTTTATTGTAGTTTTTATTTCAATCTATTCACTTTGATATATTTCATGAAATTGTTTTTATTTCAATATATTCACTTTTATAGTATTTTTGTATATTTTTTTATTTATTTTATTTACTCTGAATTTGTTAAGTATTATATATATATATATATATATATAGTTTTATTAGAAATTAATTATATATCTTCACAAATAACATCAATTATTTGTTATTTATTTTTTTTCATGGTCTAAAATCAATATTTAAAAAAATTAATTAATGTTTTGAAATAATATTTCAATTATTCAAATACAAATTTTTATCCGATATATTCTATGCGATTTAAGTGAATATTTTTGTATATATTTTTTATTTATTCCATTTACTCGTGAATTTGTTAAGTTTGTGTGTATATATATATTTTTGTTAGAAATTAATTATATATCCGCACATGTAACACCAATTATTTGTTATTTATTTTTTTTCATGTTCTAAAATCTGTATTTTTAAATAAAATAATTTAATTAATATTTTGAAAGAATCTCCTAATTATTCAAATACAAATTTTTATGCTAATATCATAAATTATTTTGTTACTAAATATATATAAATCAAATTATTTCACTCAATATATAGATTCGATTTACGTTAATTGCCGTAAACAAAACTTCTACTCACACCACACCATACGAATAATTAACTTTACGTATATAATGGTTGTCCGACTGCAGCGTAGCGTGACTATCTAACTAGTAGCTCCTAGAATTATAGACCCATGCAGATCGGTTAATTGTCCTTAACGAGCTAGCTACCCCCACAGCCTTTACAAATTTTTGTAATTCCTTACACACATGTGGGCGATTTCGATAATGCGATGATTAATATATATTAATTACACATGCAACGAGTACCGATTTTTTTTTATTATTATTTTTACATAAGAAGAGATTATAACTAGCTATTGATAAGGATAACTATTATCATTATACTCGTAACTATCACTTTACTTTATGTAACTAGTAAAAGTTTACTATGATTATACTTTTTAGAGCTATCATATATTTTTTTATAGTTATCTTTAGTCGTAACAAGTCGAGTATATATACTAACCCCTATAATCGAGTATAATATGTGAGATAATTAAGCTCTTTCATGGTATTAGAGCCCTTAAAGACTTAACCGTCTATAGTATTTTTTTCTCTCACCATGGCAGCATCTATTACCCCATCGATTAGAATCTTCTATTGTCCGTTCCCTTTACATCGCCTATCATTCCACCATCTATTCCTAATCTTTATAACCTATCCATTCTTAATCTTACTTCCACTAACTTTTTCCTATGGCAAACACAACTTTATCCTTTTTTAAGTTGTCTTGGTCTCCTTCATCATTGGTGGATCTCATCCTCCATCCTATCCTACCCTTGACAACAATGAACCCAACCCAGCTTTCGCAAAGTAGGAAAGTCATGATCAACTTGCTCTCACCTAGATTGTAGGTTCTCTAGCAAAGGTTGTTCTACCACTTGTTATTGGAGTCTCTATAGCTTAAGAGGCTTGGATAAAATTGACAACCGATTATGGTTCTAGCACCATAACCTAAATTAATCACTTAAAAAGTAGTCTTTATCGACTTATCCAAAGGACAACCGAATCTATCCAACATTACTTTCAGCGTGGGAAAACCATCTTTGATGCCTTCTATTCTTTTGGCTCCCTAATTCCTATGGATGCCCTTGTTCAAGGCTTACTTTGTGGCTTTGGTCTTTCCTATAAGCCTTTCATACGGGCCATTAAATCTCATCATGAGACCGTGTCTTATGAGACTTTGTATGGTCTTACTCCTAGTGAATAATTCCAACTTCACAATATTATTTAGCCTACGTAAGTTCTAATTTTAGTTTATTATGTTAGCCATCGGTACTCGATTCGTGGTCAAAGATGTCACAGTGGGCGTCCTTTCATATATGGTTCTTGCCTAGGACCTCCTAGTGATATGAACTCGATTCCAACAGAGTGTGGTATGCTACAATTGTAAAGGCAGTAGTCACCTTAGAAATGTCCGTCCATCCTCAAAATCATGCCGCCTACTCGCCAACCAAAGCTCTCCTCCTACCTTACTCATTCCATCTTTGTCACACCCTTCTCAATGGATTATAGACATGGGTGCTACTAATTACATTATGGTGCACTTGGAAAATCTTATCATTCACAATGAGTACTCTAGTCCGAATGAAGTCTATCTAACCGATGGTAAACATGTTCTTATTTTACATGTTCCTTCAAGTAGTCAAAATCTTTTATCTTTTAGTAGCTTTACCAAAAATAATTCTTGTTCTATTAAATTTTTCCCCGACAAATTTTTGGTAAAGGACTTAGTCTCCACGAGTGGCTTGCTTAATGGGCTCTATACAATCTCCTCTAATACCGCCCTCGTTTGCTACCCTTCTATTAAGCTCACAATACTACTATGCCTATTTGGCATGTTTGTCTTGGTCACGAATCCATCAAGATGATTTAAAAAGCCTTAAAACACTTTGGAATCCATGTTCCTCTACCTAAAGATTCTTCCTTATGTCATATTTGTAGTATAAGCAAAATTCATAAATTATCATTCCCCAGTTTATTTTTTAGCTAAAGAACCATTAGACTTAGTCTCTTATGATGTTTGGGGTCTTTCTACTCGTACCCTCAATTGATGTTTACTCTTATTATGTGTTTTTTTAAGATCATTTTAGCAATTCTTGTTGGTTATTTTCCTTTATTATAATTCAAAAGTTCTTAGCACTTTCATTAATTTTAGGCATCTAGTTGAAATTCTTTTTGAAAAATCAATTAAACAATTTTAATCTGAATGGGGAGGTGAGTATCAAGCATTAACTAAATATCCGACCGAAAATGTCATCTCTCGGACAAATGCTTGTCCAAAAACACCGGAACAAAATGATTATGCCAAGCACAAACATCGATATGTAGTTGAAACTAGAGAAGCCCTTCTCCATCATGCCTCCGTTCCTCTATCCTTATGGACCTATGCTTGTGATACCACTCGCTTACTCCATAAATCTACTTCCCATACCCCGCTTACAAAGTAACTCATCACACTACACCTTTTTTGGAACATAACCACTATATAAAGAACTCGTAGTTTTTGATTATTTATGTTATCCTTGGTTATGCTTCTATGCTAAACATAACCTTGCCCCACATTCTTCTACTTATGCTTTTTTGGGCTACGAGTAAAGTTCATAAGGGTTATATTTGCTATTCCATTTTAAGCAAAAAAATATTTATCTCATGTCATTTTTTATTTGATGAATAAGTTTTTCCTTTTGCTTCATCAAATTTGAGCTCATCCATGTGACATAATCCATAGCACTATACCTATATCACAAAAATATGTCACCTCTCATTTTAAATTTTCGATAATCCGTCCCTACTCAAAATAGCCCGACCAACCCTCCTTTAAAAATCAACCAGACCTAATCCACCTCTAACTAGCTCTTTTTTATAAACACAATAGCTTGCCCAACTAATCGACAACCCAAACTTTCCTATTAACCCCACCTCATTTCCATCCAGCCCTATCCCGAATGATACGACCTCACCGGACGTAAGCTCGCAACTAACTCCCGGCCCAATAAGTCCGAGCCCACCTCTTCAACCCGATACTATATTTCCATAAACATATACTCCTCCTCAATTGTCTTTTTAAATTGATCTCACGAGCTATCCGCCCCTTACTAGGTATTAGTCATCATCTTCCTAAAATCTTCCATCATCTACTCCATAAATGTCAAAGTATCACCATCAACCACCCACTCTAAAGCCATACCTATTAAACATGAAAGATCTCGATTTATCCACTTACCGATCGTACTTTTATCTTCTAGCCCATCACCCACATCTCGTTCTCCCCATCCGAAGCTCGTCCCCGTAACTCTTATTAAGATATCCCGACTTGACTTCACAAGAATGGCTCTTGTCTCCTATATAGACCTTTCACGACCTTCATCCATAACCACTCGCCCCTATATATTCCGACCATCATTTTGCTAAATTCAACCCACTAGGAGCTACAACTCCTAAGCATCCTATGGTCACCCATACAAAAAATACAACCTAAAGCATCGCACATACTTCACCATGGTCTCCTTAACTATTCCATATTTATACTCACAAGCCGTAACATATCCTAAATTGAATGAAGCAATGGCTAGTGAACTCCAAACACTACTATCAAAATGACACATAAGAGCTTGTTCCTTATCATCCCACTTATAATGTGATTGATAATAAATGGATTTATAGAGTGAACATAAACTTGGATGGGTCTATTGATCAATACAAAGCATGATTGGTTACATAGGGATTCAACCAAGCACTCCAAAGTTGATTTCACGGACACTTACAGGTCTCGTTATCAAACATTTTACTTTGTAGTTAGTTATTTCGTAGTTGTTTCTATTAGTTGGAGGTTTAAGTAATTAGACATATCCAATGTTTTTCTTCATTGTCTACTCGGATGAAGTGATTTATATGTCAAAACCAAAGGGTTTTGTTGACCAAACTAGACCCATGCATGTTTGTAGATTTAAAAAGCCCCTCTATATCTTGAAACATGTGCCTCATCAATGGTTTAAATGTCTCATATACAAGATGATGTCTCCGGGTTTTACAGGATATAAAATCGAAGTCTCTCTTTTGTTTTATACAAACTAGAAAAGACATAACTTTTTGTTTAATTTATGCTCGATGATTTGGTTGTTACGAGCGACGAATGGAATGTTGATATCCGCTCTAATTTTTGCTTTGGACTCTAGTTTTCTAGAGAAAAATCTTGGATGGCTTCAATATTTTTTGGGAATAAAGGCTAACTCGGGGAGCTATTGGTTTATTTTTTCATCAAGCACAAGTATGCTTGTGAGCTCTTACTTAAGTCTAAAATGCATTAAGCCAATAGCCTTAGCACCTCGCTTGTTTTAAACTAAGCCGAAAACAAAAGGTGCTCCCTTGTTCCTAAATCCGATTCTTTATCATAGTCTAGTAAGTGGCTTATTATCTTGTTATCACTCATCTAGATATCGCCTACTCGTCAATAAAGTAGCGTAGTACATGCACTCTCCAACGAAGTCGATTGGATTGCTTTAAAAAGAATATTGCGTTATCTTTAGGCCATAAAGTCCCATGGATTACTTCTTCAAAAATCCCTTGAATTTTCTATTAATGGTTATATAGATTTTAATTAGGGTGAGGACATTCGGTTATGCCATTTATCTTATTCGGAATCCGATTTCATGACGATCTCGAAAATAATGCACTCGTTGTCTACCTATTCACTAAAGCTCGAATATCACGCTCTAGCAATAGCTTGCTCCGAGGTTGAATGGATTGAATCTCTAATGAAGGAGATTGGCATATCTCGCTAATAGAAAACCAAAGCTTTGGGGTGACAATATATAAGCCACATATCTCATTACCACATCTATTTTCCATTCGAGGTCTAAGTACTTGGAAATTGATTTCACTTTATGGTGATAAGTTTTATAACGATAGGCTAAAAGTCTACTACTTGCCCATCGTTAATCAAATTGCCGACATTCTTACTAAACCGTTATCCAAGGTAGTATTCCACAAATTGCAATCCAAGTTATGCATCTATTCGATCCCGGTTAACTTACGGGATGGTGATAAAGATAACTATTGTCATTATACTTCTATTATCATTACACTTGTAACTACCCCTTATAAATACTGTCATTATACTTTTATTTTCATTACACTTCTTGTAACTACCATTTTACTTCCTATAGCTAATAGAAGTTTACTATGATTATACTTTTTGTAGTTATCATATATTTCTCCGTAGCTATCTTTAGTTGTAATAAGTCATATATATACCGACCCATATAACCGAGTATAATATGTGAGATAATTAAATTCTTTCAACTATATATATATATACAAAGAGACTTTTTCCCTAGTTGCCAAGATGGTAACGAGTAAGGTCTATGATTATTTTAGTTGTTATAAAAGGTTGGAGATTGGTGTAAATGGATGTAACAAATGTATTTCTATAGGGAGACTTAAATGAAGAGGTATGCATGACAATTCCAGAAGGTATACAAATTACTCAAGTCATTATACGACTTAAAACAAGCCAACAGTACAATGGAACACTAAGTTTTGCGAGGATATATATATATATATATATATATATATATATATATATATATATATATCGTTCAATTATTGTGTTTTGATTTTTTAGCATTAATTTGATCAAAAATTAATTGAATTGAAATTTGGTATATAAGAACATACAAAGTATAACTCTATAGTGATTGGTAATAGTTAATTCAATTGTTAACATTTTATATTGATTACTTTTAATTTAACTCATTTATGATAAAAACATACCCATGATTTGGCTTCTTTTTTAAGAAAAATATAACCAAGGTAAGGAACTAACACAAAACAAGTCAAATATACAACTTATTAATGGAAATTAAATACCCTCTCGCCCTCTTTTTGGATTTTTCACGGTTGAATGAGTCGATTTCACAATGTACAACATTTTGATTCCCATTAAACAAAAAACAACATTTGAATAGTTTAAAAGGATCATGTATTGAACAACATTCAACTACTTTCGATCGACCTTAACGGAGATCGCCAAGATATATGAAAATCTTGTCGAGTTGAAATCAAAGGATATATATATATATATATATATATATATATATTCATCGCATTTAATTCTATCATGAAGATTAGGTTAATCACATTGCTCAAGTGAGTTCTTTTTAACCGACAAATTAAAATGAGTTATTGTTTTAAGATATAACTTTGTTTATATAACTATTAATTATTATACATTTTTTATCGATTGTATTTCAAATGATAGTCTTACAAAACTAAAAAAAATCAATATGGAGTCACTACAAGAAATTTGGCAATTAGCGATGGATTTTAGCGACAGATTTCATTCCGTCTTTAAATAGCAACAAATTAACGATGGGTTAGCCACCAACTAGAAAAAGTTGATATTTTCGACTCATTAGCGAGAGATTAACGAGGAAAACTTAGCAACGAAATAATTCAGTTGCTAATTTACGTGACAAAAAAAATGCCACTTTTCGTGACGGATTAACGAGAGATTTTTGTAATTAATTAGCTATGGAAGTAGATTCATCATGCATTAGTCGCTAAAAATGATCGCTAAACCTAAACTAGAACAAATTAATTAGGAAAATTTAATAAAAATAAACATAAATTTTAACTTCAATTAATTAATTTAGACTTAGAATAATGTAATTAGATGGCATAGAATGAGAAATCACATTTAAATTGAAAAATTATCTTCAATTACTTGAATTAAGGTTTAGGCCCAATTTTGAGTTTATGTATGTAATTGATCAATTAATACTTAACCGAGTTAATTTAGGTCTAGTTGAATGAAATTATATGAAAAATTGGTGTTGAAATTAAAAGTAAATGTTTAGTTTTGGTTAGGGTTATTATTCGACCTAAGGTAGAAAATGTAAAACAATAAAACTACATAATAAATCATTGAATCTTATAAAATTAAGTATTTAAGAATAAAAAAATAAAAAAATGTAATCATTCTTTAAACAATTATTTAAATTCTTTTAAAAAAATTCATAACTAATTAGAGATAATTACACAACTAATATATATGCTTAATATTTATTTAAAATTTATAGGAATAATGATAAGTAATTGTTTGCATTGGTTGTGTCATTTTTATGGTAATTACAAAAATGAGATATGATTGATAATGGATGAATGTTAGGTTTGTTAATGGATTGTTAAATGATAACTTTGTCGAGGTGTAAAACAATTTTTAGCTTTTACTATTGAGCATCCTAAATGTATGGTGGAATCAAAATTAGGTATCCTTGTAATTTCGAGTAATTGTCGAAATCAAAATTATGAAGAGGTTGAAACGATAAAATATCATTTATTTCGTAGGGGTTTTATGCCTGGATATTATGTTTGGGTACATTATAGTGAATTTGAAACCTATATGGCATCCGACAAGTCTAGCATTTAGTATGTTTTTGGAAATTATTATGTAGGTGAAGGTAGTTTCGGTGAATCCCAAAACTCATATCAAACTATGATAATGGATGTAGCTGGTCTATCTTTTGATTTGTCTAACGAGAGGAGGTTCCTAATCCTAACGCATAACATTTTTATGATATGTTGAAGGCATCACGTCGAGAGATTTGACTTGATTATGATGAGCACTCATAATTTTCAACGAGTTGCTCGAATACTCGAATCTAAAAGGTGAATATCATGTTTTAGAGAAGTGTTTCGACCGATTATGTGAGCTGATGAAGGAGTTGATGCCTATAGATAAATGTATGATATGCAATTTGTAGAAAACATAAAAGCTAGTTAAGGGGATGGGGTTTACCGAGTTGAAAAAATTATTTGTTGTTAGAACGGGTGCATGATTTATTGGAAGGAAGACAAAGAATTAAATAAATATAAGTTTTGTCAACATCCTCGATATCAAAGTTCCCTTTGAGGATCAAAAAGAGGAAAACTTATTTTAATTAAGAAAATATACTACTTCCCTCGAACCTCGCATCCGCAACGATTATATGCATTGAATACGATAATTGAATACATGATGTGGCATGCTCGAACATAGGGGAGATAATGCGGGAGTAATGTGTCATCTCTCCGATTTTATTGCTTGGCAAAGTTTTTATCGATTAATCTTTCTTTTATAGTTGAAAGAAGGAACATCGGATTAGGAGTGTGTATTGATTGGTTTCAACCATTTGATCAATCCGATGAGCAATATTCCTCGTGGCCTTTTATTATGACTCCATACAATTTACCACTATGGATGTGTATGAAGGAGGAATATATGTTCCTAACCGTGATTGTTATGGGTCCAACAAATTTGAAATATAAGTTGGATGTCTACTTGTAGTCTTTCATATCCGAGCTTATCTAGTTATGAGAAGTGGGTGTAGTGACTTATGATGTGTACCATAAATAGAATTTTTCATTGAGAG